AAGATGAATAAGAAGTAGGATTTGCTCTTAAGGAAGACACGATTACAATACAGTGTGAAGTATGCCTTAAGTTCCACCAGGGAGGTAGTGATCGGCATTGGTGACACATTTGTAAGCTCCTAAGAATGAATGGAAATTGGTCAGGAGACCATGATAGGGAAGAGCACTCCAAGAGTGCTAATGTGAGATGTGGTTGGGAGCCACAACTTGTTCCTCAAGCAGGAAGTAGCACTGCAGACACACACACAGAGGGAGAGCACGTGGCTATGCCTGTGAACTTGAACTCTAGGAGAGTGATGCGTCATCAAAGGTCTGTAAAGGGGGACGCATGGGGAAGGGGAGGGAGGAGGCAATGAAAGCTGATTTGTTTCCAAAGCACTATGGTGCTAGGATGGAAGGTAACCAGGAGGAGGGGTCACTACTGGAAGCCTGAAGCCAGGGAAGTGGCTGGAAGATTCTAGGCAAGGAGCCGGTGTAGAGGCAACAGGTCTAAAGGAAACCAAGCTATAAATTCATTCATTTGATCACTCCTTACCTGTTGCTGTCAACACTGACTGCTCTGCCCCTTCCCAGGGGACAGACCAGCCACCAAGCCAGACCTTCAGAGGGATGGACAGAGATGTTCCTAGAGACCTTTGCCTTGGCCAGGCTCACCCCCAAGGGGCTGCATCTTAAAATGCTCTGCCACACATCTGCCTATCAACGATGGCTTTGGGACTTCCATTTCTCATCAGAAATGCAAGGTACTAGAGACCTGATCAGATCGATATGTCTAGGGACAGCATGGGCCTCAGATACAGACTTGTTGTCCAACTATCTTCTAAATGTTTCTGTTTACACCAGCAGACCATGGCTACTTCCAGCCTCCTGGTTAGTGCAAAGACTTCTGACAAAGTGCTGAAAACAAGCAACTGATGAGCACTCGGCCCTAAAGGGACATCTATAGTACACTTTCTAAAGGGACATCTATAGTACCCTTTCTAAAGGGACATCTATAGTACCCTTTCTAAAGGGACATCTATAGTACACTTTCTCCCAAGGCCCAGGGAGCATCACAAACAAGAGGGCAGAAAGAATTTAAGAACAGGATGATGGGGAGGAGTAACATGAAACACTGTCATCCAGATACGACATTGCCTTTGCAATGTTCATACCAGCTATGAACACCCACAGGACTGGGCCTTCCAACACTCCATCATGGATGGAGGAGGTGCCCACTAAGCTCCAGCCCTTCCTGAGGAGCTAATGACTGTTAACCGTTGTGGGAGGAGGGGCTGCCATTTTCTTTAAGGGTGTGGGGAACTAGGTGGGAAGAAGGGGTTCAGGGGGAAAGGAAGGGGGATAACAGAGAGTAATGTGGTATCTGAAAAGAAACCATATTATATAATATATATGAGAGAGTCAAAAAATGAAAGAAAATGCAAAGCCCTTTCCCCAGGACTGGTCAGTTCTCCAGTGGAATGGGGCCCACCGTATTCAAAGAATTTGCCAGCTAGACTCCTAGGAGAAGGGGTGTTGGGTTCCCACGATGCCTTCTGCTTGCAAAAGAAACCTCATATTACAGATCAGCCCAGAACCAGGAGGGAAAGACAGAGCAAGGATGAGTCTGAGAAGGGTCAGAAAGGGAGCAGCACTGTCCCTGTGGGGGGGACGTGGGCTCACTCTCAGCCCTGACGGTAAGTAGATGGTTTCCCTTCTCCTTATCATCTCAAAAGGGAAGAAAGGGGCTGCGGGAGCTGGTTTCTTTCCTTTTAACAACTTCCTTGTCTCTTGGACACAATGCAGAAGAATTGGGGAGGAAGCTGACCAGAAAGAAGGCAGCTGGCTCTGCTAAGACTATCCAGAGACAGTGGGGCTAGCCTGCCACCTACTGGCGGCTTTTGGTACCCAGGGAAAGGCTTGTTTTGAGAATTTTGCAGCCAGGATTAAGATTCTTCTGGTGTCTATGTGCTATTTGTTTTTGAAAGAGGGTCTCGCTATGTAGCCAAGTCTAGCCTTGAACTCACAAACCTCCCACCTCAGCCTCCCGAGTGCTGTGATTACGGACATGCACCAGCACAACCAGCAAGCTTGAGATTCTCATGCACTCAGTAGACATCAAATTTGGAGATACTTGGAAATGCACTGAGTTGCTGCAAGGTTAGGAATTCATGAAGATTCTAGAATGGATTTCAAAGGAGAAACTGACAGATGCAAGTGTCTGTTGCAAACATTCAATGGTACAGAGTCTTGGTTTCTTCTCCCGTTTTACCATGGAAGGGCAAAAGAGTACCAGAAACACCATTGTTCTAAAGACCTAATTAAAGTGTGGGCAAATATGATTAAATATACCAAGAGAGACTCTGCAGGCCAACATTGTGTCTCCTGGAAGTGAGCAGCACCTAAGATTTATATACTGGTCACTCCTGTGGATTAAAGCGACTGAGGACTCAAGCCAAAATTTAAATGTTACTTGGCTGGGGGCCACTTGCTGAATTCCAACCTCATTCACTGTGTCCCTCCATGGCCACACACTATATGGGCAAACACAGAATGGTAAGATCTGAGTCAGTTACCCAGGGGCTAAGCAGGCCCAAATGGCAACAGGAAACGTGACACGATGCGATGAATCCTGTCCATTTTGCACAGTACTGGGCATGAAAATATTACACAAGAATGCCTAAGAGGGGCTGCTGTCATGACTAATGTTTCACAGAAAGGGCGACAGTCCTCTGAGGTATTATGAATATATACTTGAATAGTACTTGGTGTGCCGGGCACATACTGAACTTTTTTACATTAACTTAGTTGTTAGCCTACTTCAATTCTCTTTATGAAATAGGTACTACATTTAGGCATAGCAACTTACAGAAGTCATAAGCTGCTATGGGGTACAGACAGGATATGAACTCAGTGTAATTACGATGTTTTATTCCGACACCTTGCACTGTGTACCTCCATCATTAAAACTCCACTTCCAAATAGGAAGCAATTTTCTTAACAAATAGCTGAGCCAGAGATAAAACAGCTCGGAGAATAGGGAGAAATGTCAGGTTAGGGGCTAGAGAGAGAGTTCATTGAATAAAGGGCTTGTCTCAAAAGCCTGAGGACTGGAGTTCAGATCCTCAGAATCCACATAAAAGGCATGGCAGCTTCCAGCCCTCTGGAAGTAGAAACAGGGAATCCCCAGGAACAAGCTGATCATCAAAGCTAGCAGGAATCTTCAAAGTCTGGGAAGACTGAGAGACTCTGCCTCAATAAATAAAGTGGAGAGTGATCAAGCAAGATGCTTAATGTCAAGTTCAGGCTTCCATACACACATGCAAACTTGAACATATGCAACTAAACACACATATTCACACATGCACTCATATACATGAGAACATACACAAATGTGCACGCACACACACACACTACACATATACACTTGTAAAAAAATGTCAGTTAAAAAGAAACAGCAGACCTCAAGGCTCCAGCCAGGGAAGAGCACCTGGAGGTAACACCTTCGCAGATATCAAGCCTTAAGTGCAGCACCCAGGGCTGAGCTTTACATCTGCGCACAAAGAGGCAAGCAAGGCTACAGGACAAGTGCCTTTGAGAAACAGCAGTATAGAAGATGACTCAGACAAGGCCATTTCCAGGCTGCGTGTGGTGGCTCACACCTGGAGCCCCAGCATTGACAGAGAGAAGCAGGAGAATCACTCATGAGTTCAAGTCCAGCCTGGGCCACAAAATGAGGCTCTTCTTAATAAATAAATAAGTCACTTCTTATTAGAAAAGTGAGGCTTGCCATCCTAAATTGGCTGAACATATTTTAAGGTCACTGAATATTGAGACTGCATCATGAAAAATATGCAGTCCCCTACTCTAAAGCAGAGAGCAGAAGCTCAGTCACACCGTCCTGGCTTGTCTTTTCTGGGGATGCTGGTTGCCTCCAATGTGCCAGCTTTTGGAGATGCACACACGAAACTTTGTCTTTCAATGTGGCATGTGGATCGACTGTCGGTACTGTTCTGCTTTTCATACAGACATCCATCCCTCTACCCTGGCTACCCTGGATACAGGGTTTCCATGTCACTGAATTTGAATTGATATCTTAAGCTGCAAATTCTGTCTCTAACTGGACGAACAGTTCTTGTCACCTCCCAAGATCACAATGTTGGGGTAGAGACCTATTCCTCAGGGGCAATCCTATCTGAGCACCACACCTGAGCCCGAGCTGCACCTTGCACTGACCTGGTACTCCGTCACCTCTTAACTGACCACTGCAGGGAGCTTGGGTCAGTGCTGGGTCTCTGCTTTTAGAACTCACTGTCTGGAAGAGACCGGGAAGCTGGTCACTCCTGTCCAAGTTAGGTGTAAGAAGTCAGGCTCAGGAGCCAGCCTGCCAACAGTTCAAGGAAGAAACAGGCTGCAGGGTCAGGCGTTCTGTTCCCAAGGGTCTGGGATAAGAACCATGGGCTTGTGTTGATTCTTTCACTTTCATAAGAATCTCATTTTGGCGAGGAGGAGAAAGTGCCTGACACTGGGAGAGGATGATCTGGCAAACGCTGCCACAGGTACTTAAGGCTCCTCTTTCCAGAACGCTTATAAGGGCCGTGTGCCATGTATTTGAGTATTTTATAACATTCCTGGTGGGCAACACCCGTATCAAATACTTTTAAATGTCTGCGGCACTCGGAACAACACACAGAAGGAAATGATCTAGGCTTGGACCCTCCCTCTCCTCTACAACACTTTCAGGTTTTGTTTGTTTGAGAGCTGTGGATTTGCAGTTTGCAGGTGAGGTCTCTGTAGGTGTAAAGCTCTTCGAGAACACACACACACACACACACACACACACACACACACACACACACACACGAGTTGTTATTTGCTGAAAGTTAACTTCCTCCCCCCTCATCCAGTCTCAGAAACACAGGAGCCTTTTAGAGCTCTCCTCTGTTCCCTCCTCCAAGGAGGTAAGACAGCCCCATCCCAGCTCTGCCCCCGAAGGTGGTGGCACCACAGATCCTCCTTACCAGTCTGTGTGGGCGTCATCAATCACCAACAAGATCCTGGGTCTCTGAACCACAGGTGTGGTGGGAGCTGGGGCCTCCATCAGCCCCGACGGGGCCTGCGGGGTTTGCTTCATGGCACTGGAGAAGGAGCTGAACAGGCTAGATCCTGGGGAAGAGAAGGAAGCAGCCAAGGGCTGGGGGTGCCTCCGCTCAGTGGCCGGGGATGCAGGGGAGCTGGTAGAGCTCTCTGGGCGCTGCAGGTCCGCCATGTAGCCATTGGGCAGGTTGGCCACGAAGCTGCTGTCTGACAGACGTCTCCGGAGGAAATTCATGATTGTGACGGATGGGGATGGTTCAGTCCCCTCAGATGTGTCTAGGTGAGGCTCAGAGCACAGGGTGCCAGCTACCGGAAGTGGGAGGCTTGGGGTTAGAGAAGCTCAGAGGTTCCACACCACCAGAAAGAAGGCTTCAGCAGACTTTGCGTAGCTGTTGGAAACAAGCCAGCAAGCACATTAGGGAGACCAACCTCCTCCCTTGTAAGAGCAAACAGATAATGCACATTCCCCATCCACTGCTGGTGGCTCTGAATTGGGACACCCTTTGGAAAAGGAATTGGTAATATGTATTAAAAAGCATACCATTTTAATCAACAATTTCCGTTTTCTGTAATTCTATCCTAAGGAGAGACTCTAACTTACAGGAAAAAGAACTTAATGCACAAATGTATTTACCGCAGCCTTATTGACACTGGTAAAATACTAGGAAGAGGCTGATCATTCAGCCATAGGATAACACTGTCACTCAGCAAATCTTTTGTGGCCATCAAAAAATGGGGTTCTGGGTGTGGGGCTGGGGAGATGGCTCAGCAGTTAAGAGCACTTGCTGCTCTTACAGAGGACCCGTTAGGTTCCCAGAACCCACAATGGACAGCTCACAACCACCTGTGACTCCTGCCAGGGATTCTGATCCCTTCTTAGCACTCTATGGACATCTTCTCTCACACATGCACAACCCCCTCCCACACACACATAAATAGATGATTAAAAATAAAACACATCTTTTTAAAAAAATATTTTTATTGAGTTTTGTGGGTTTGATATAATACATCTTAATCATATTTAGCCCCAAGCCCCACTGCACTTCCCCTATAGCCCACCCACAGGACTTCAGGCATTTTGTGATCTACATTAAGGCCTATCAAGTCAAGTTTGTGTACCCAGATGTTTCTTTTTTTGAGAATTTTTATTGAGCTTTTTAAATTTCATAAAACATTTCCCACTCAAATACAGACGCCCTCCCCCATCCATGCCTCCTCCTATACCCCCACTGAACCCTATGCACTCTGCCATACATGCTGAGTCCTATTCACTTAGGTGTTTATACTCAAGTGTCCTTTGGCGTAAATGTGTCCACTGGAGTCGTTAGCCCATCCAGTGGTCGTATGTAAGTCATACTCTCCCTTACCCAGCAACAATCAGTCTTAAATAGTTCTCAATCTAGTGCTGGCCCACCACCTATTTCTCACCTCCCCTTTGGGCCCTTGTTTAATTGAGCTGATATGGGTCCCACAGTCAACGCCACCACTGCCACAGGCTCACATGAGCAAGCCTCCAGTGGCCTGGAAGCCTCCACCTCCCTGTGTTCATGAACCAGCCCTGGCTCTTACAATCTTTCAAAACGATGGAACACTTCACGGATTTATGTGTCATCCTTGCGCAGGGGCCATGATAATCTTCTCTATATCATTCCAATTTTAGTGTATGTGCTGCCGAAGTGAGCACCCCAGATGTCCCTCGATGTGAGTTCATCCACTAAGGCCTGTTCAGCCTGTCTAGCATCACTCCTATGAAGATCAACTCTCCCTCACCCAGCAGTAATCAGCTGCCAATAGTTTCTCACCAAAGTTGTGGCCTGCTGCCCATTTCCCCAGTTCTATACTGGTTTTTGTCTGATTGAGTTTGCACAGGTTCTGAACATGCTGTCACCATTACTGTGAGTTCATATGAACAAGTTTCCAGGAGCCTAGAAGACTCTGTTTCCTTATGGTCATGTGCCTCCTCCCCGGCTCTTACGATCTTTCTGTTCCCTCTTCCAAAATGATCCCTTCCATGACACAAATAGGCTGAAAGAATTCATGTCCACCAAACCAACCCTACCGAGAGTTCTCGAAGCAATACAAATGACTGAAGAAAGGAATAACTATAATGAAGAGGCAACAGAAAATACATCTTTTTTTAAAAGGGTCTAGAAAAAGCCATTTTAGTGACAGAACAAAATTTCATGCTGTAATATTAAATTAAATTAAATACATCAAGTCTGTGCCTGGTGGTACATGCCAATAATCCCAGCTATTTTGGAGCTAGAGATGGGCAGATCAACAGTTCAAAGCCTGTCTGGGCTCTAGTGAGTTCAAGGTCACTCTGAATAACAGTGAAAAACTACCTCAAAATAAAATAAGTAATTTAAAGGGCTGAGCTGTAGCTCAGTGGTAGAACAAAGTAGTATCTAGGAAGCTCTGGGTTGGCTCCTCAGCACTACAAAAAGAAAAAATAAATGAAAAACTCTGAATATAAAATTGCACACAGAATAACTACGGTCATATATAAAGGTAACAAAACTTTGAAATTAGAAATAAGTCACAGCAGCAATTATGTGTTGGTAACAGTATCTGACCTTTTCCCTTTCATTTGTATTTTCCAGATTTTCTCAAATGCAAATTGCTACAGATTGAAATGAATCCCTAGTGGGAAGGGACATGGACCTGAGGCCTTCCCAAGGTAGTTACAGTTCAGCCAGTGTTGGTGGGAATATTTTTCAGGATGGGAACAAAGCTCTTACGAGAGACACCTCTCCGTACCATGTGAGGACACAGATAAGACACAGCCATCTGTAAGCCAGAAAGGGGATACTTGCCAGACCCCACTATACTGCCTTCTCTCAGACTTGCAGACTCTGGAACTATGAGAAAATAAATTCCTGTTGTTTAATCCACACAGTCCATGGCAATTTGCTATAAGTGGAACAGACATACCACACACGTACACCTTTGCACACACATATGTGTATACATATATGTATATATAATCATGAATGCTTTTCTGAACAGAATGTTTCTTGAAAAACTTTTTGTTACATTTATTAAATTGATTTTGTGTGCGTGTGTGTGTGTGTGTGTGTGTGTGTGTGTGTATGCACGTGTACCATGGCATGTGTGTGCAAGTCAGAGGACAACTTGCAGGTATCAGTTCTCTCTTTCTACTACATGGGACCCAGAGACTGAACTCAGGTCATGTGGTTTGACCTCAGGTCCCTTTATAGGCTGAGCCATCTCACTGGCCCAAGAATGAAGTTGCCTTTATTTTTTTAAAATTTCATTATTTAAGATCAAAATATCCCACTGAGAACAATGACTATTTAAACCATAGAACTAGAACATATATTTTTGTACTTTATTATTGTAAAATTTACTTAGAGTAAAATGCAAAGTCCTTCCCAGTACAGTCCTTTGAGTTTCGTTAAATGCATACGGTGGTATAGGATTTATCTAGTTCTATCACCTCAAAGTCCTTTTCTACCCCCTTCCGGTCAGTACACACCTCCTCAAAACAAGGAAAGACCTCCAATAGGACACCTTTTATTATTTTTACCTGTGTTTGAACTTCATATAAATGGCGTCACATATATTATTTGTTTATTACTGACTGCTTTTCATTAATATAATGGTTCTGAGAATCGTCTATGTTGCACCTACCAATAATCAGTCATTCTAGTTTTTGTTTACCAAGTAACATGTCACTGGATGGCTAAAGCCCAAACTATGGGCTATGGTTGGTTTGTTTGACGGATTGGTTTTTTGTTTCCTCTTCTCTTTCTTTTTTCTTTCTTTCTTTCCTCCTCCTCCTCCCCCTTACTAGGAGCTACACTCAGGCATCCTAGGCCAATTCTGTACCACTGAGCTATACCCAAGCTTCTACATTGTTTTTAAAAATAAAGATGCTTAAATATATCTCCGAAGCTTCCCCTAAACTGCTAGGGAGTCAGGGTACACAGCCCTGGGCTGAAAGCCTGATATCTGTGATTAAGGAAATACAACGGACCCCTACTGGAATATCAGCCCACCCCTCCTTTATGGGACCTAGCTAATCTTCCCAGAAGTATGGACTGCTGGGCAGCCATATCTCTGCCCTACCTATACCTCCTCCTCCTCTTCCTTTTTCAGATAGGATCGCCTGAGGCTGGCCTCAAACTCACTATGTAGCCGAGGATGGCCACAAACTTCTGACTTTGCTGCCTCTACCTCCCAAGTGCTGGGATTATAGGTATGTACTACGCCCAGTTTATACAGTACTGGGGATAGAACCCCAGGCTTCATGCATACTAGGTAAGCATTCTACCAACTGAGCTACATTCCCAGTCCCACAAATTGCTTTCCGTTCCCTTGTTGATGGATAATTAAACTATTTCTGGCTTTGGCGTATTATTAGAATTGCTACAAGTATTTTGTGGACATAGATGATGAATGAATGCAAAGATAGACTAAGAGCTCAATCTTTACTATGGGAAATATCTAAGATGTAACTTGTTAGGTCATACATTAAGTACATGCTTGACTTAAGAAACTATCCAAAAGTTTCCCAGTGGCTGCGCTATTTCTCACGTTCTGTTTGAGAACATTTGTCCCACATCCTGACCAACACGGACTTATCATTTTATCTTAGTCATTTTTTTGTGGGAAACTGTTTTCTTTTATAAATAGGAATCCAATCTCTTGGAGCTGGAGAGATGGCTCAGTGCTTAAGAGTGCTTACTGCTTTTACAGAGAACCTGAGTTTAACTCCTAGCACCCATGTGGGGTGGCCCACAGTTGCCTGTAACTCCAGCTTTAGGGGCTCTGATGCCCTATTCTGGCCTCCACAGGCACCTCCACACATGTGGCACACTTACACAGAGACATATAAGACATAAAATAAAAAATAAATTATTTTTAAAATTTATTATTTTTATTTTATGTGTTCGAGTATATTACCTACATGTATGTAAGTGTACCCGAGCCATGCAATGCCCTTGGAGGGTCAGAGGAGGATGTTAGATCCCCTGGAACTGGAGTTACTGAAGGTTGTTATCCACCATGTGGGTGCTGGGAACCAAACCTGGGTCCTCTGCAAGAGCAGCCAGTGCTCGTAACCACTGAGCCATCTCTCCAGTTCAAAGAGTAAATCAATTTTTCAAGAAAAATTTAACTTCTTTTATACCTCTATTTGCATTTCGTGTTTGCTTGTACCCTGGTTTTATGCAATTTCAAGCCATTTGACCACTTCACTTTAGTGTGAAACTTACTGGCACAAAATTGCTCAGATACTTTTTTAACTTTCTAATGGATCTTCATAATTCCTCATATTATTACTAATATTGGTAATTTTAATTCTTTTCTTTTCATTTTGATTGCAGTCTTGACTTGCAGTCTTTTCAATTTTCTCCTTTTTTTT